TCTCCTACCTTCTTATAAGAGGTAACCACTCCTCTGAACCTAGGTGTTGATCATGCTTTTTGAAAATTTTTCAAATACATAAGTGATTCTTATGTATTTGACAGAAAAGATGCCTGGCCTTATAGAGATCTGAGTACGAGGAAATTAGGCAAGAAAAAGAAAGAAGGGACAACCAGATTGGAAAGGAAGGAGTAAAACTATATCTTATCTGCACATCACAGGCTCTTTTATAGAGAAGCCCTTAAAGAATCTATAGATAAAGCAAAGACTACTAGAGCTAATAAAAAAATTCAATAAAATTTTAGGATATAATATCAGTATACAAAAATAAACTGTATGTCTATACACTAGCAATGAACAATGTGAATCCCCCAGAGACATGGCAAGAGCTGAGTCTTCTTCCTGAGTGCAGGGAAAGGCTTCAGTCTTTCATTATTCAGTATGATGTTAGCCGTGGGATTTTAATATATTCCTGTTATAGACTCAACTGTGTTCCCCCAAAATTTATATGTTGAAGCCCTCACCCATAATGTAATTTATACTTGGAGATAGGGCCTATTAGGAGGCCATAAAGGTTAAATGAGATCATAAGGAGGGGTCTTAATCTGATAGAACTGATGTCCTTATAAGAAGAGACACGAGAGGTTTCTTTCTCGCCACTGGAGCACAAAGGCAAGGCCACATGAGGACACGATGAGAAGGTGGACTTCGGGCCTGGTGCAGCTGCTCACCTGTAATCCCAGCACTCTGGGAGGATGAGGCGGGTGGATTGTCTGAGCTCAGGAGTTTGAAACCAGCCTGAGCAAGAGCAAGACCCTGTCTCTAAAAATAGCCAGACATTGTGGTAGGCACCTCTTAAGCCCAAGAGTTTGAGGTTGCTTTGAGCAATGATGCCATGGCACTCTATCAAGGGTGACAAAGTGAGACTCTGTCTCAATAAAAAAGGGAAGGTGGTCTTCTACAAGCCTTTGAGGAAGGCTGGCCTCACCTGAAACAAACTCTGATACCTTGATTTTGAATGTCTGGCCTATGGAACAATGGGAAAATAAATATCTGTGGTTTAAGCCGCTCAGTGTGTGGCACTTTGTTATGCCTGAGCAAACTAATGTAATGCCTTTTATCAGACTAGGAAGTTCCCTTCTATTCCTAGTTGGTTGATTTTTTTTTTTTTTTTTTTTTTTT